AGCATGCTACTGGCCAAATATCATCACCCTGGGCATTTTGGTTATTCAGAAGTTGTTTAATGTTTTTAAAATATTTGACCCCTGTGACCTTGAGTATAAGTGAAGGTCATTCATTTGAACAAATTTTATAGCCCTTTACCCTAGCATGCTACTGGCCAAATATCATCACCCTGTGCATTTTGGTTATTCAGAAGAAGTTGTTTAATGTTTTTAAAATATTTGACCCCTGTGACCTTGAATATAGGTGAATGTCATTCATTTGAACAAACTTGGTAGCCCTTCACCCAAGCATGCTACTGGCCAAATATCATCACCCTGGGCATTTTGGTTATTCAGAAGTTGTTTAATGTTTTTAAAATATTTGACCCCTGTGACCCTGAGTATAAGTGAAGGTCATTCATTTGAACAAATTTTATAGCCCTTTACCCCAGCATGCTAATGGCCAAATATTATCACCCTGGGCATTTTGGTTATTGAAAAGAAGTTGTTTAAAGTTTTTAACATCTTTGACCCCTGTGACCTTGAATATGGGTGAAGGTCATTCATTTGAACAAACTGTGTAGTACTTCATCTCAGCATGCTACTGGCCAAATATCATCACCCTGGGCATTTTGGTTATTCAGAAGAAATTGTTTAAAAGTTTTTTGAAGACAATTGACCCCTGTGACCTTGAATATAATTGAAGGTCATTCATTTGAACAAACTTGGTAGCCCTTCACCAAAGCATGCCACTGGCCAAATATCATCTCCCTGGGCAGTTTGGTTATCGAGAAGAAGATGTTTAAAGTTTTTAACATATTTGACCCCTGTGACCTGGAAAATGGGTGAAGGTCATTAATTTTAACAAACTTTGTAGCCCTTCATCCCAGTTTGCTTCTGGCCAAATATCGACACCCTAGGCCTTTCGGTTATTAAGAAGAAGTCGTTTAAAGTAAAATATTGACGCCGGACCACTTCGTGCCAGGTGAGCTAAAAAGCGAGAAGTTACCTTCTCTCCTCGGCTGGAGAGACCTTTTTGTTAGCATTAAATTCACCGACAGCTGCCGCTAAAACGTACTGCTGTACAGTAAAGTATTTCTCCAATACTGATTAAAAACGCCAAGTAAAACATTGTCTCTTGTCAATTTTTCGACATGAATTGTTCATAGGGAGTGTCAAACTATATAATCATAAAGAATTTTGTGACAAGGTTATAAAACAAAAATCCCTTTAAATATTTAGTAGTGAATTTATATGTAAAATTGTGTAATTTAACCTTGTATATTGACCAAATTATTAAAGGTTCAAAAATGTCGTTAAACTGTCAGTAAGCTCACCACCTTTTGAACAGCTTGGCCTTGGATTGTGTTTTGGTTAATTAAATGTGTGTGGTTTTAAAATCAATATTTGGAACAGGTTTACAGACTTGTAATAATGTAATTATATAATCAGTCACGGCAAGGACTGTATGTGAACGTAACCTGCTGTAGGCATACTGCAGTGACCCTTGACCTTTGGAAGTAGGACATCATTAGTGTTGATCTCGAGTTAGGTCAAAAGACTTTTAGATACGTTTAACCTTTTACCTGTGATTTTGTCCTTGGAAAGTAACATATTTAGTGTTGTGTGTCGTCAAAACAGGATACAAACAAGAACCAAGTAATTTGATTTAATCATTAACTTGTCTTAGACATCAACTTCAGGGAAAGTGTAGACCACAAGAAAGAGAAATCAACATTAGTGTTGGGAATCAATTCAATTTTACGATAGATCATGGGTTACCAGTAACTAAGCATTAAGTAATCATTTATACGTCATGGAAACCTCCATGGTGCATGTTGATCACGCAAGAGGCCGATGGGCCTAAAGGGTCACCCCGAGTCCTACAGTATTTATTTTTGTTGTTGAAATATGTACCAATTTGAGTACAAAATAGTTAAGTATAACGTTAACTAAAGTTTGTCATGACCATGAGTCGGTCATTCCTACAAAGTTTCAGTTCAATCAGCCCAGCAAAACTTGACTTTAAGTTTGAAATTGTTTTTCAAAATGGCGGCTGTGTCGGCCATATTGAATTTCTGATCGACCCGAAAAATAACAACACTTTGTCAGGACCTTGAGTCAATCATTCCTACAAAGTTTCAGTTCAATCTGCCAAGTAGAACTTTACTTTTAAGTTTGAAATAGTTTTTCAAAATGGCGGCCGTGTCGGCCATATTGGATTTCTGATCGACCCGAAAAATAACAACACTTTGTCAGGACCATGAGTCGATCATTCCTACAAAGTTTCAGCTCAATCGGCCAAGTGGAACTTAACTTTAAGTTTGAAATAGTTTTTCAAAATGGCGGCCGTGTCGGCCATATTGGATTTCTGATCGACCCGAAAAATAACAACACTTGGTCAGGGAGATGTCAGTAGCCTTCCCATGAAATATTAATGAAATCCCTTTGCCAGTATTTCAGCTTAAGTTGAAAATGTAAAATGTTAAGGGACGACGACGACGGATAGCAATAGGTCACTTGAGCCAAAGCTCAGGTGACCTAAAAATCAAAACCAAAGTTGTAATAATGACCTCTCTTCGTACACTCTATTTGAAATTTATAGTGTCCTTATTGTGCATGAGAAACCTCAAAAATGAAAGCATGCAAGTGACTGATGCTAACAGAGCAGCTGGAAATACTTCTGCAGCTGATCTCTTGTTAGTCTCATAAAACACTCTACTGAAATATGCATAATATCTACACAATTATTCTGACTAAAATCGATCATGAACTTCGTAGCCAATCAGTTTATAGGCCAATAATCAACAAAGTCGATTAATCAGAATATCCTTAATCAATGTCCATCAAGAACAAAACACAGAGACGTCAACTGATTGCTCGATATTATTTATTCACAGTTGGCACATCATACAAGAGCTTATCAGACACACGGCTGTCCTTAGTACAGCCTTCAATCAAGCCAACCACAGTAAAATCACTTATCATCATAGAAACAATAAAATGTCCTTACATTCACATACAAATCTTCATAATCTCTACCTGAGGAAAACCACTATCTATGACCCTTTAGAGGCTTGCTTTTGATTTACTCAACAATTAGCTTCCTTTATTTGAACAAAACATTAAAAATTTCATGTCAATAAAAGTTGTTTTTCTGTTTAAGATATTTAAGAAAAATTGGTATATAAAAAGCTGCAAGTTCAAAATCTTTTGAAAGAATTTCATGCAAATTCCATCCTCAATGGTTGAAAATGTGTAACAAAAAAATTTGGCTGTACACCTGCAGATCATGTGGTAGACTTATATAAAGGAACAGTGCCGTTGTTCCTAGTTCTCAACAAGAGCTTCACACTGATGCATTATACATAATATGATATGTAGAACTTGACAAGTCCACAGCGACACTTCACGTCGTAAGGCACTAGGACAAAAATGATAACATCCACGAGATCTCGTACTAAGGCACAGGGACAAACATGATAACATTCGTGAGACATGTAAGGATTTCTAAGGCACAGTGAGACAAATGATCACATCCATTTAACAAAGGGACAAAAATAATAATATAAAGCAAAATAATACAAAATAACTGCATCAAAGATCACATTTTAAGTCACAACACTACAAACGATTGCCGCTCTATACAAAAGGACACAAACAACCACAACCTAAGCCACAAGATCACAATCATACATGTATACTAATTCACACCGACAACAATCATCACATTCTAATTTACACAGACACAAATAATCACATCGTAAGTTACATTTACACTTTCTACTAAAATCTCATGGTAAATATTGGACTGTCACAATATATTGGAAAACTGGTATATTGCAATACAGAGGCTATATATAGTATTGTACCACATCTATCAGACCATTATATATCTGCAGTATACAACTGGTACAGCTGTCCCTACTCGGGGTTTGATGGGTTGAAGACTTTTCCAGGTTTAATTATTTGGCTTTTTTTTGTTTGTAATTACATGTATGACTTTTTTTTTATTGTTTATAATCAAAACTTTCTCTATGATCGTTGAAACCCATTACAAAACTCAACTAAATGGCATTATACCAAAGATATATTGTTTTGCAATGACAAATTAGATTTGTGTCAATATAACAAAAAATTGCCAGAATTTCTGATGCAAGCTGATATATTCAATGATCATTGTTTACTTAAAACAACTTCACTTCAACATTTTCATTGATAACAAAAACTCAATTTCTGTATACATCATCACTAGGTTAGGGTAAAAAAAATGGATTTGATTGATTTTAAAATGTTAATTGTTCTTTTCATGATATAATGTTCTTTTTTTTAAATACTCCAGATATTCTGGTTGTTGAGGTCTGAGGTGTGTATAAGGATTTTATAATCTACTGTTGGGACAAACTTCACGAAACATGAAAACATGCATTGCTTGTAGGTACCTCACTACAAACTACACTAAACATAGAGATATTGCTTGTAGGTACCTCGCTACAAACTATACTAAACATAGAGATATTGCTTGTAGGTACCTCACTACAAACTATACTAAACATAGACAAATTGATTGTAGGTACCTCGCTACAAACTATACCTTACGTATTGACAAATTGCTTAATGTTAGCCGATTACAAATTACAACATTAATTGTATATACTAAAAAAACACTAAACATAGACACATTGCTTGTAGGTACCTCACTACAAACTACACTAAACATAGACACATTGCTTGCAGGTACCTCACTAAAAACTACACTTAACATAGACACATTGCTTGTAGGTACCTCACTATAAACTACACTAAACAGACACATTGCTTGTAGGGACCTCACTATAAACTACACTAAACAGACACATTGCTTGTAGGTGCCTCACTACAAACTACACTTAACATAGACACATTGCTTGTAGGTACCTCACTGCAAACTACACTAAACATAGACACATTGCTTGTAGGCACCTCACTACAAACTACACTAAACATAGAGATATTGCTTGTAGGTACCTCACTACAAACTACACTAAACATAGACATTGCTTGTAGGTATCTCACTACAAACTACACTAAACATAGACACATTGCTTGTAGGTACCTCACTATAAACTACACTAAACATAGACACATTGCTTGTAGGTACCTCACTACAAACTACACTTAACATAGACACATTGCTTGTAGGTACCTCACTGCAAACTACACTAAACATAGACACATTGCTTGCAGGTACCTCACTACAAACTACACTAAACAGACACATTGCTTGTAGGTACCTCACTAAAAACTACACTTAACACAGAGACATTTATTGTAGGTACCTCACTACAACCTATACTAAACATGTTCACATTTCAATGTAATACATATGAATTTTCATACAAAATAATTTTTCAACGATTACAAAATATGAAAAAAGTTAATGATGCATAAAAATGAAAGGAATTATGGAAGTAATGTTTGTAACTGAAAGTGGATGACATCATCAAGATCACTTGCTGGCTAAGCACGAAGGAACATCATCATCCATGATTCTGATTTCAGGTCTACTGTCTCATCAATATTCCTTTGAATCAGTCATAAAAAAGGACAGTTATTGAATTTCCGAATCTTGCAAAATTCAACAGAAAACACAATATACTGGTAAATGCAGTACCCATATGTTGATTTGTAGGAAATTTTACATTTTTCAGCAATGCATTGGCATTTTCTGTCTATTTACATACATAAACAAACACTACCATTACTATAGTTACCAGCAAGTGACCTTGAACTGTCAGCTGGGAATAAAAGGTTGGATGAATCACAGAAACAAATAATAAATAAATCTATATATGCTAAAGATGATTTTTTTATCAAAGCAAAAACAAAACAATATAAATAGAGACACAGAAAATGAAATATTTTTGAAAAAATCTTCAAAGGATATGTTAATTTTCTGAAATCAGCAAACATACAACTTAAATCTCTCACAAATAGAAAATAGTCCACAACCTTGATTTCTCTACAGGTAGTATCATCATAAACTAAATACAAAAACAAAGTACAATATATATTTACACAACAAAAACATAACTTCTCATATATATGTATTCATCAATATCTCTCCACATCTCAATTTGCCCACAATTAAATTAGCAATAATAGATTCATTTTTAAGAACTTGCTGTACATGTATATGCTCAAAACATCAAAATGACAGACTTAATGGAAAGAATTATTGTATAAATATGCCAACATGGCCACACAGATCAATCAAGTGTAGCATACATCCGCATGTAGCATCTTTATCAACATGGTAGGGTGCAACCCAAGTCACCGTACTATACTGAGTGTAGGGTAGAACACAAGTTACTGTAACACAACAAATGTATGGTACAACCCGGCACTGTACAATGTCAGTAAGGTACAACCCCAGGTACTGTACCATACAGACGGAAGGGTACAATGATGTACCATAACAAATGTATGGTACAACGTGGCACTGTACAATGTCAGTAAGGTACAACCCCAGGTACTGTACCATACAGACAGAAGGGTACACCGAACAATGATGTACCACAACAAATGTATGGTACAACCTGGCACTGCACCATGTCAGTAAGGTACAACCCCAGGTACTGTACTATACAGACAAAAGGATACACCGTACAATGATGTACCACACCATATGTATGGTACAACCCGGCACTGCACAATGTCAGTAAGGTACAACCTCAGGTACTGTACCATACAGACGGAAGGGTACAATGATGAACCACAACATATGTATGGTACAACGTGGCACTGTACAATGTCAGTAAGGAACAACCCCAGGTACTGTACCATACAGACGGAAGGGTACAATGATGTACCATAACAAATGTATAGAACAACGTGGCACTGTACAATGTCAGTAAGGCACAACCCCAGGGACTGTACCATACAGACGGAAGGGTACAATGATGTACCACAACATATGTATGGTACAACGTGGCACTGTACAATGTCAGTAAGGTACAACCCCAGGTACTGTACTATACAGACAAAAGGATACACCGTACAATGATGTACCACAACATATGTATGGTACAACCCGGCACTGCACAATGTCAGTAAGGTACAACCTCAGGTACTGTACCATACAGACGGAAGGGTACAATGATGTACCACAACAAATGTATGGTACAACCCGGCACTGTAGAATGATGTACCACAACAAATGTATGGTACAACCCGGCACTGTACAATGATGTACCACAACAAATGTATGGTACAACCTGGCACTGCACAATGTCAGTAAGGTACAACCCCAGGTACTGTACCATACAGACAGAAGGGTACAATGATGTACCACAACAAATGTATGGTACAACCCAGCACTGTACAATGATGTACCACAACATATGTATGGTACAACCCGGCACTGTACAATGTCAGTAAGGTACAACCCCAGGTACTGTACCATACAGGCGGAAGGGTACAATGATGTACCACAACAAATGAATGGTACAACCCGGCACTGTACAATGATGTACCACAACATATGTATGGTACAACCCGGCACTGCACAATGTCAGTAAGGTACAACCCAAGGTACTGTACCATACAGACAGAAGGGTACAATGATGTACCACAACAAATGTATGGTACAACCCGGCACTGCACAATGTCAGTAAGGTACAACCTCAGGTACTGTACCATACAGACGGAAGGGTACAATGTAAGTTACTGTACCATAACGTCTGTAGCACTAGATTACAATTATTCAAAATGTAGAGTACCTGTCCGTAGTGTACAACTCTTGTATTGTAGTGTACCCACCAACATGGTAGTTTGTACATCAATGTAGTACTCCTAACTATATAATGTACACATCATTGGTATACAGTGGGTGGTAAGTGTACAGAACATTGTTATACAGTAACACTTTGTAATAGTGTACACATCATTGGTATACATTGGCCATGGGTGGTAATAGTGAACACGAAACTGGTATACTATATGAATGGTAAGGAACATTGGTAATTTTGTATACATTGGGCAGCAATTCACCTTGACAGAGGATTATCATTCTAATCTATGCAAATTATTTGTCCAATGGTGTTACAAACCACCCAAGTCCAATGGTGTCACAAACAACCCAAGTCCAATGGTGTCACAAACCACCCAAGTCCAGTGGTGTCACAAACCACCCAAGTCCAATGGTGTTACAAACCACCCAAGTCCAATGGTGTCACAAACAACCCAAGTCCAATGGTGTCACAAACCACCCAAGTCCAATGGTGTCACAAACCACCCAAGTCCAATGGTGTTGGCTAGTACTAACATTTCTCATGCAGGATGGTGAGGAGGCAGTATGAACGTGGTGCAACAAACACAAACAAAACATGCATAGTTAATAACTCAAGGTCATCGAGGAGGAACTCAAGGTTTCTGACCAGTGGACCGGTCAGTTTGTTGTGCTGACCAACAAAAACCCACTGGCCTAACCATGAGCCTCAACACATGCTGACTTGATGTCCAAACATAACATACACACACTCTGCGCAGTTTAATGGGCGACAAACAAGAAACAAGGAGTGACACATCAAAATATAACGTTATAGCTTAAAATAGTTTGATAGGGTGGTTGGTGGGGAGTGTGTCTAAAACTGATAGGAATGGGGGGAGTTACCTGTCTGAATGAATCTACCTGTACTGGTCTGTTGTGAAAGTTTAAACTTCAGTTGATGCTTTACCATTGAGGGGATGCAATGAGTAAAAGACAAATTTAAATTGACAAAATATTTTCTAAATGTCTGCTGGAGCTTTTAAGAGTGGACTATTTGTCAGATATTGATTATTTATCGGGAGGAGGAGTAAGCAATGGATGTCGGAGAAGCCCCTCAGCAAGCTCAAGGCCTGCAGACTCGGGGGATCGGAGAAGCGCCATATGAGCTGCCATAGCCTTGCTGGGGATCATGAGTCGCTGAACCTTGTTGCCGTGTTTGACCAGGTAGGTTGGGCTGCTGTAGGGGCGTCGGGGGATGGTCGACAGCGACTTCTTGGTGTAAGGTGCCACGGAAGCTGCTGCTGTTGTCGTGGATTTGCAAGGAGGGGGAGCAACAGTGGGGGCCTGGGGGTGTACTGGTATAGTCGTCATGGCAAGGGTAGGCTGCAGTGGCTGTTCGCTGTAGTCAGTGACATAAGGGTTGTTGACCAGAGAAGGATCCTGCATCATCCCACTGCCCTGAAACATGGTGCTCAAGCTTAAACACAAACAGGCCGCCACACACATGCAGTTTGTTTACTTGATAAAGTTGTGAACAAAGTGTACATCTAAATATTCTTACCTAACAATTGAAACACAATGTCTCGGAAAGTGCATGTTTTTTATGTGTCATGACAACCAATATAAATATATGACATTGAAACACTTAACACTTTGTAGGTTCATATATTTGAATGAAGTTCCTAATGAGAGAAGCACTGTGAAAATCAATTCAAGTGCTCAGTCCATAGTTATCTGCCCTAGATGTCAGTGATGCACATTCTTGCCCCCCTCCCCCCCTCCCTCTTCCCCTTTAACTATTTACAGGTTTGATATGTTTGTACGGTACACACACAGATACACACTCATGTACAGCCATCCCTTGCCACGTCCATGACCAGTCTTCTGTCAGTAATGAGGTTATTCTGTAATGGGGATAATGGAGATACCATGATGGGATGACTTAAGAACTTAATGATTTGCTCCTTGCTTCTATAACAGGACATTTTTGTGATAAACAGAGAAAACAAGAGGTGAGAAAAAAATGTTGAGGTCTCCATGCAAACAATGAACAGTTGGTTACGTGCGACTCAAAGCATCAACAAAGAAATGCACATGTCTGCATGCCCAGAACAGGGTTAGTAAACACTGACATTCCACCAGCTCTTGCTAATCTTGCAAGTGTGATTAGGAATTATTGGTTTAATGAAATTTTGATTTTTAACATTCAAAATTGATGTTTTACACAAAAACATGAATACATCTATGTAATAAATAAATGTATACAAATAGCAATATGCCAATATATATCTAATAAAAGCACTCAAAACAATTAATCTTACATTATTTGACTACATACTGGAGACGATTAATCCATAAATCTCTCCCGACATGACACTTTTTAAAATACAGCTATCTAAGAAAAGATCATAAAATTTGAAGAGTCTATGTGATACTGCTATCATGGAATGCTTTGTAAGGTTGTGTACACATGATTCTTGTAATGACATCCATGCCAGTGTCCTGTTCCTATCACGACGCCAGCTAACAATGTAAGTCCATTGGTCACTTGAGCAGGGTGTAGGTCATGGAGGTGGCAGGGTAGGTGTACATGAAGTTGTGATTAGGGTCCTCCACCTACAGACAAACATACACAAGACACAACAGTCAGTACCTTGTCAGTTACCTCCCCTTCCATGCCCAAATGGCTACTCTCAGTGCCTCAAAAGTTACCTCCCCTGATATACCCATAAAAAACTTAACAGTTACATCCTTTTTCTCCATCTAGACAATTGTACAAAAGCCAGTACCTTATCAGTTTTCCCCGTTTTACACACACATAAAATTCAGCCAGCAGCACATCAAACAGTTACGTATCTAGCTTTACTTGTCTCCCCTTTTCTACACAACTGTGAGCAAGCCTTCATGAATTGTCTCATTCCAACCATTTGCTAAGTTGACTTCTCTTCTTATGATACCATGAGCAAGTTCCTAGAGTTGTCTCCTCCCCTACAATACACTGATGGAGACTATGTTATATCTCCTCTCCTACACAACACTGATGGAGACTGTTATATCTCCTCTCTTACTATTACCACCATTAGTGAGTTTTCGGGCTTGCCTTCCTTGTTACCATCCATGCAGTAAACTTGATGTACTATAATCTACTTCCTCTAAGACATTCAGTGAACCATCACAATCACCATCCCCTTTTCTACTCGACATTTACTGACAATTCACGAGTTATGTCGCCTTCCAATAAGACACTCAGTGAACCCAATTAGACATTGAGTGAACCTTCACGAGTTCTGCCTCACTTCCTGCCGGACACTGTGTCACCCATCAAAGTGTTGCACCCTCCCAACCAGACATCCAGTGAGCCTTCACGAGGTTTGCCCTCTTTCCTACAAGTGAATGCACCTTCAGGCGTTCTGCCCTCCTATACAATGAGTGAGCTTTCACAAGTTATGCCAGCCCTTTCTACGAGATAGTGAGTCAGCCTTCAAGGATTTTCCCATCCTGCAATTGAGCCTTAAACAAATCCCCATTCCTATAAGACAGTGTGAGCTTCAAGTTTCCCCTTCAACCAGGAATTGAGTAAATCACAGTTCTCCAGTTCCTACCAGACAGTTAGTATGCATATAGCTCTCCCTTACTACCAGATATTTGGTGAGCTTCCCAAACTTCCAGACATTTTATAAGAAAATTTTGTAAAAGTAGGAAATGACTGCTAGAATACATCTGCTTTCACAAACCATTCATCTTGGCTTTGACCTTTTACCTCTGGTTAAAGAATTATTTGTGGAATTCTCAATTGTTGTTTTAAATTCTTGAAAATTGTTTGGTGATATGAAACTGATCAACATATTTATATGAAATAGTAAGCCTTGACCTTTGAACCCTGAAGTGCGAACTCAAAGGTATTCTTGTACTTCATCTCAGTATAGAATTCAATCAAAATCCTTTTTTTTTAGAAATAATTTGCTAGAACAATAACAGTAGGCCATGAAGGGAGAGGATGGAATAGATATACTAGGAATAAGTATATTTATGTCACCTCCAAAAAATCAAATTATTTTGATTGAATAATTTCTAATTTCCAATGACTGGAATTTTCATGATAACGTAAAGCCGATTTTGTTTTGGACTTTTAATCAAGACATTTTGAATTGATAGAAGTAAAAGCACCCATTTAACTAAAACAAGAGGCCCAGAGGGCCTGTATCACTCACCTGAATATTTAAGCAGTCATAGCAAAATATTCTCATTAAATACAATATTGCACTACAAATATTTCCCTCGTAAACTTTGTCGGCTCCATCTGTTGAAACTACCAGCCAAATATTATTTTAAGATTCTATGCTTTTTGGGCCTTCTTCAGAAGTTGTTTGACATATTTTCCTCTGTGACCTTGTAAGTAGGTCAGTCATTTTCCTTCTCAAACTTTGTAAGCTCTATCCCAAGAAGCTACCAGCCAAATCTTATAAAATCCATTCCTTTTGGTTCTTCAGCACAAATCCTTTGAAATGTTGTTGACCTCTGTGACCTTTATAGTAGGTTGAGGTCATTTTCATTTGCAAACTTTGGTGAGCTCTATCCCAGGAAGCCACCAGCCAAATATGAAGAATCTATACCTTTTAGTTCTTTAGAAGAAGTTGTTAGAAGCGTTGACATAACTGACCGCTGGACAAATTCATTTTCATTCTCAAACTTTGTCACGCTCTATCCCAGGAAGCCATCAGCCAAATATCATGGCTCTATGCCTGTTCGTTCTTCAGAAGAAGTTGTCTAAAGGTTTTAAACATTTTTGACCTCTGTGACCTTGCAAATGGGTGAAGGTCATTCATTTAAACAAACTTGGTAGCCCTTTATCTCTGCATGTTACTGGCCAAATATCATCACCCTAGGCCTCTTGGTTATTCAGAAGTCTTTTAAAGATTGACATATTTGACCCCAGTGACCTTGATTACGAGTCAAGGTAATTCATTTTAACAAACTGATAGCCCTTCATCCAAGCATGTTCCTGGCCAATTATCACTATCATAGGCCTCTTGGTTATTCAGAAGTTGTTTAATAAATGTTTTAAACATATTTGACCCATGTGACCTTGATTATAAGTCAAGGTCATTCACTTGAACAAACTGGTAGCCCTTTATCCCAGCATGTTACTGGCCAAATATAATCACCATAGGCCTCTAGGTTATTCAGAAGAAGTTGTTTAAAGGTTTTAAACATATTTGACCTCTGTGACCTTGCAAACCTTCGGACAGGTGAGCTAAAAAATTATAATTATAATGGGTCATAAGAGCAACAATACTGGAAACAGTACCATATTACAGGTACCATATAAATAACTATTGGAAGGAAAGTTACCAGCTTTGGACTATTCCACATTATGTACAATGCCAGTGACAGTGACTGGACACAACAGACATTCTGATGTATAAAGGAATCTTACTTTACCCAGAAAAGTGTTGTCTTACGAAACACCTTACTTATATTATGACAAACAGAAACGCCTGCTGACACACAGAAACAGTGCTAGTCTTATCAAACCTCCAAGACAGTGCTACTTGTCAGTACAGCATAGGAAGTAACACATATCTCTTCTGTTCCCCCTCTACAAGCTCCTCGTTGCAAATTGACCACACTGTAAAGCACTCAGATGTGATCTGCTGAAGTCATCAGGAAGGCTGGAGCCTACATCTAGATAGTGTTACATCCCACTCACACCCACATAGCCTGTACACTACTACACTGTAGCTTATTACACCACCAATCCATACCTATAATTGTCTGTCTCATCACTGATGTTGAAGGGGCTGCCCATTATTGGGGGGNGGGGGGGGGGCAGTGGCTTCCCAATTTGCCTGCCTGCACTTTACACCCTCAACAAACAAGGCCATTCAGTGGTAACTTTATTTATATCAGATCTTTTATCAATATGTAGTATGCCAAAGTGTCAAAACTTCACTTAAATCTATTAGCAGCATGGAAACAGCAATCAAAACCAACATGGTCAAATCATTCCATTGTTGGTTAAAATCTCAATCAAAATATGTTCATCCAAAATTCAAAATTGATATTTTTCAGATACAACACCAAACACTTGTGATGTAAGCTATTCTCCATGCATTGTAGTTCTTGATGACCCCAAACTTGACCTTTGAAATATTTGTAATCAAATCAACAATACACTGATCTAATCAATATGTTAGTAATCTCTGCAAAGGTTACTATGTAATAGAGCTGTAACGTTACACTTTACCCACGATTCGATACGTATCTCGATATTTGCACCACAATTCTATTATTTCGATTCGATACACCTTTATTTTAAAATGCAAAACAAATAAGATATATAAGACGTCGATACACTGAAACCCGAAGTGTTTCCACACTTTTGATTTGAAGCTTGCATTTCCGTACCGCGGTCCGCCATTTTGTTATGAATGCTTTGTGAAAATTGCATCCTCGCA